ATACTGTGAGGCTGGTTCACTTATTGCTGTGCTTAGCCATTACCAATGCCACTTATACCACCCTTGAGTGGAAGATAGAGATAGCCTGTTTAACTGTAGAATTAATCCTAGTGTGGGGCTGGTTAGTTTACAGTTATGCTAAGCCCTTTTATTTCTTGTGGGAGACAAATTATTTAATTTGCGGTGTTCTTTAAAGCCACTGTGACAAACGCTCTTTTCGACAGATGTTTGCCACTAATTCCTATAGGAGTGTGGAAGCTGGCCTCCTGCCCACCGACTAAGGTCCAGGTCGGAGAACCCATTCAGGAGTTAGTCTGCCCAGCTGCCCTTAGCAGCTTTCCCTCGGTGCCCCTGGTTCGGCACTTTTCCATCTCACAAATTGAACTGAACGCTAGCTCCTGGTGGCCGTTTGCATGAACAAACCCACGAACGGTCCTCAGCGGTACTTAGCTACGACCGCTATAGAACTAATTATGGCATCAGAATTATGGCACTTTGTGGTCCCTAGTCACCTCAGTGGTACTTAGCTATAAATGTTATGGAAACGTTCTCAGAGAGCTAGGTGGGGCATCCCGTATTTCGACATCAGGAGCTCCCAAAAGCTGACAGCCAAAGCACGCATTGCTCTGGAACTATTTTGGGCGTAGGACCACGTGTGCAGCTGGTCAGAACTTTGCCCGGTGGCGGTTCCTCTATACTGCATAGATCTAAACGCTATTTGGACAACTCGGGGGCTCAAATCAGGGATGTTTGGGGATGTAGGACATGTGCGGTTATTGTTTTTATGATGTTTTGGGGTACTTTTATGTTTTTATATTTTTGTGTTTGGCTCTCTTACCTTGGAAATGTTGATGACACATCCATCAATTTTGCCAATGGAAGGGCAAAATCCTCAAGCTACTCCTGTGTATTATGCATGTGATGTCACCGCTACGATATGGTAGAGCACCAGAAGCTTGCCACAGTTTTTTAAACCAAGTACGCATTCTGTTTGAGCTACGTCCCAGAGCCTACCCCACTGATAGAGCCAAGATAGGTTTCATCATTACCTTACTTATAGAAAAGGTATTGACTTTGGCTAATCTCCTGTGGGAGAATGATAACCCTATCTTTTATAACTATGCTGCCTTTCTTGAAGCCTTTAGGAGAACATTAGATACCCCAGGTAGAGGTAATGCTGCAAGGAATGACATGCAGCACAGTATGTTTACTGTACAATATTTTATGAACTTTAATCACACACAGGAGACTGCTACAGATATTAACAGAGCAGAACCTGAAATATGTATTATACATTATGCCCAACTGCAAACGTTAGCTATTATTTTATTGTGTTTATTCTTCCCTTCTGACTTGCCACTTTAATTATAGAGATACTCTGTTGCTCTTGGAGACATGGCGGAGACTAGGATGGTTCACTTTGTGATGTGTGCACTCAAATTACTGTATAATGGGATGCTTTATATTATATGTCTGAATACTCTGTACAATTGTTTGTATGACCGTTGAATTACTGCTAATATTGTAATTTTAGGCAAATCTATTTGTATTAAAAAAAACAGTAACAAATAAAATAAAAATGAAAACAATAAAGAAATAAATAACAATCTCATTTAAGATCCACCACTCCTATACTTCTCGATATGAAGCATTAAATCCAGTGCTTTCCGTAGAGAAGCATTGCACACACATCCAGCCTCCAAGATCAGCATGCTGGATCAGCTGAGGCTGGATTTCAAAGAGATTCAGTTATTGTATCTACGGTATTTTAGTCAGGAGCCCCAAAAGGCTGTCTGAATGAAGGTAGAAACTGCAAAATGTAAACAAAACATATGTTTCTCAGAAACTGCACTGTTTTCTTCCGTAAGGCTGTAGGGTCAGCATCTATAGCTTAAATAATTTCATTCAAATTAAATTATTTTGGTGCTCAATGTACCAAAATGTACCAAAATTATTTCGATTAGATGATCTGATCATCAATCAAGGCATTGGTGGTTTCATTTCAACAAGAGGAAACTCATGGGCAGCAGTTCATAGAAATAATGCCATTATGAAAGGATTTACTTATTTACAGAGTTATTCTCTAGAATTCAAAGTGAATTTCAAATGTTTGGTAAAATTAGCCGAACTTACACCTAACTTAGATATTTATTCCAATTTAGCTATGTTGGACCTTAAATTTGAAATTAACTTTGGATTTACTTTGAATTGTCAAAGTAATACCAAGAGGAGAGGTTTACAGAGAATACGTTGAGAATTCTGTGGTTTGTAAGGTACTATATGCAGGGTCGGTGCAAGTTTTTTTGGGTACACAGGCGAAGATTATTTTGCCCCTCCCCCTCCAAAAGCATCTTCACCTGTATGCCTCTTAGCCCGCCTTTTGTTTCTTACTGCATCTTATCCCCTATTTTTCAACATTGTGTGTCTTACACCTCCTTTGTGTATCTCTTACAACCCCCCTTTGGGTGTCTTACTCCCCCGATCCCCTTTGTGTGTCTCCTTCTCTCCCAGCCCCTTTGTGTCTTTTACTCTTACCAGCTCCGTTATGTGTTTCTCTTTCACCACCAGCCTGTCTATTCCCCTCCAGCCCCTCTGTGTCTCTTTTTCCTCTTCTCCAGACCCTTTGTGTCGCTTTCACCCTCATCCCCTTTGTATTTCCACCCCAGGCCTTTCTGTGTGTTGCTTTCTCCTCCCTCATGTCCCTCTGTGTATCTTTCTCCCCCCTCAGGCCCCCCTGTGTCCCACCCTCCCCTCCATGTCCCTTAGTATTCCTCTCATCTTCCCTCCAGTTCCATAGGTGGTCCTCTCCTCTCTCTTCCTGTCCATTAGTGGGCCTCTACTCTGTCACTTAGTGTTCCTCTCCCCTCCATGTCCCTTAATATTCATCTCCCCTCCCTTCCTTGTCCCTTAGTGTTCCTCTACAAGTAAAGAACCAAGATAGATATTTCACATGTAGGGCATATCTATGATTAATAACCACCACACAGGCTCGCTGCATGAACCTTCTGATTACCTGTGATATATGTACTCACATGTAATGGGCACTTATTCAGCCTGTGTAGTCTATTAATTTATGATAATATATTCAGTAATTATTAGATGATTGATGGACATTCCTGAAGTAATTGCTATTATTTAAATTGATACTTTTTAAACATAGAAGCCACAAAAAAAATAATAATAATAATAGCAGAGTTAAATTACTGCAAACAAGTTATAACTACACGTCATTTTAAGAATACAGACAAATTAAAATTGGCATAAAAACATAACCAAAGATTATCTGCATCTGGGTTTCATCAAACAAATCTAACATCTCCAGATTTAATTTTAAGCCTTCAATAAACTAATATACAACATATGTCAGGTATCCCTCTAATTGTGAGTAGTAAGGGGGACATATTTTGCTCCCTTGTCCTGAAAAAGCTTAGAAACTGTGAAACTGCCATTCTGCGCATGCTTCTCAAGCCAGAATGTGTCATGTGAATATAAAGTAACTTGTAAGAGAACAAAGCAGTATACTCTATATTATTTGTTATTCTGGGTTTCCATAATTGGAATATTGTTAAACAGGGACCATTGTGACGTGATTATGAGAAATATTCATCTGTAATGGTACAGCGGTTAGGTCTTGAGTGTCCACTCATTGTTATTTTTAATAACAAGATCTCTACAATCAGAGAAGAGATATCTCGTCTTTCTTCTTCCCCTTACAATATTTCCCCTAACTTCACTCCCTCTGCTGTTCTATGTTCATTCGCACCCGCTACATTGGAAGAGGTTTCTGCTTTGCTCCGGTCCTCCCGCCCCACCACCTGCTCCCTAGATCCAATTCCCTCGCATATCATCCGTACTCTGTCTTCTTCTCTTTCTCCATCTCTCACTAAAATTCTCAATCTCTCTCTCTCCTCTGGTATATTTCTATTGCCCTTCAAACATTCAACTGTAACCCCAATTCTAAAGAAGCCCAATCTTGACCCTAACTCCCCATCCAACTATCGTCCTATCTCGCTACTGACTTTTGCATCCAAGATCCTTGAAAAAATTGTGTATGCGAGATTGACAGGCTTCCTCGAGTCCAACTCTCTGCTAGACCCGCTTCAACCTGGT